CCAATAGACTCGGTCAGATATGACTTGTCTGGAGTCAGTTGAAGTCAGTTGAAATCAATTGAAGTCATTTGGAGTCAAGTGAAGTCAGTTGGCGTGTTGAAGTCTGGAGTCCGCTGTTTCCCCCTTGGTTTAAAACGTCAGGTTGTTTTAATTTGGGTTTATATGAACTGTATGCCCCATAATTTTTTCTTAACTTTAGTTGCTTTATCCGTCGTTTAACATTCTTCAAAACTTCACTTTTCTATAAATTACACTTTGCTATACATCGTTAAAAATATACCGTACAGAACTATAATAAAGTGTATTTTAAGGAACTCCGACAGACTTCATGGGATTTCAATGGACTCCATGGAGCTTCAGGACTTCAAGACTTCAGGGGACTTCTTTCGAAAAACATCCATTTCTTGTGGGGGACGACCGATCTCGTCAGGAAAAACCATGTAGTTCTTGTGGACAAACACCGGTTTCGACAGGAAGCAACGTAAAGTTCGTGTCAAGAAACACGCTTTCTTGAGGAAGAAACATCAGGTTCTATGAGCGAAGTAACGATTTCTTCAGGAAAAGACATCAATTTCTTGAGAAACACCGAGTCGTTCAGGGAAAAACAACAAGTTCTTGTGGAGAAACACCGATTTCGTCAGCAGAAAACATCAAGTTCTAGGGGCGAAACAGGAAAAACATCCATTTAACACGTGCCATATATATGAAAATCAATGAAGCGCATGAGAGCGCATCAAAAGAGATGTGCTTATGTTGACTGCATCGTATTATTGGAAAAAAGTCCCGCTCATTGCTGTTTAGTTATCAGCTACACGACTTAAGAGTAGCCCCCTCTTTTTTGAAAAAATATCACTCCACGACCGTTCTTCAAAACGTTGTGCATTTTAAGTTTTTCATTCGAAGTCTGAAAAAACTCATTTTTTTACTTTCATAAAGTTTTCTCTCCTTTCGTGTACATTCAAAAGTTTTTCTTACACATGGTCTGGTAGACGAAAGTCTTCTATCCACAATGAGACGCCTCCCGGCATAAGAGATATAAGCATCGCGGTAATTGCCCTGAACAAATGTGACCTGTGTACAAAATGCATTCTTCTTGACGACTACAGTTTTGCTACCGGGCTTCATTGGACCACATTACGAACCCCCTTAAATTTCATCCGATCGGGTTAAAAGTTTTACCAGAGGTACTTAAGACATTTTTGCAGAGGTAATTTGTTTGAATTTTATTTTAGACCTTTCTTTACCGAGTTACAAGATTTCTAAAATTGAAAAACTTGGTTTTTGTGACGTTTTTCCAGTCTTTCATTGTTCGAATAAGCCATATTCACATCTTCATGAAGTCGCTACATATAGGCATTGTCTTCTTGCGTTCTGTCTACACAATGCATACAGTCATACGGCCAGCTTTCAAGCCGTGTGACCGGCAACACACCAGAATGTGAATATGGCTCGTTAAGAAACTATGACTCGTGACCGATGTAGAAAAAATAGGTACTTCAATTTGAAGTAAGTGTTTGCGAGAAGAATGCCATGTTGTTGAAAAAGAGATAAAGGGAAAACGGGTCAAAGCCGTAGATCCCATCAACGTTTTCCAGAAATATTTCAATCGGACCATTTTTCTCCATCGCGTAAAGCATTCGGCTGGGAAATTTTCTGAAATTTCTGAAGAAGAAGAGTCAAAGTTGCCACTTATGCTACGAGCAGCAAGACGTTGAAGTATATTTAAGGGCTCTAGATGGGTGGAATATGAGCTATTATAGACAATTGCTCCATACCCAAAGACAAGTCTTACACAAGTCTCATAGAGATGCTTTATCAATTTGGCAGAGGCATCTCGAACAGTCCGATGTATCACACCCAGCATCCGTCTGCATTTCATCGCTACATTTTCAATGTGACTAGCCCATTTTAGGTTATGAGAAATATAGAGCCCGAGCAGTCTGACCTCAATCACCCTCTTAAGGGGAATTTCTCCTAACTTGACAATAGCTGGTGATTGAAAAATAGGCCTACGGTCGAAAATCATCTACTGACACTTATCAACATTCAAGTTGACAAGCATCTTCTCACGCCCTGTTTCTCTTTGTGTTTACTAAATGACTAAAGCAAATTCTTGTCGCGCCTATTGTTTCTTCTAGAATGAACGGTAACTAAGATGAGCAAGCGTTTTTTTACAAAAGTAACAGAGAGTATCAAATAATTTCGTTTGCTGCTTTTCTCTAACACATTCAACTACTTCCTTTTTATCGACTCTGTTTCCTCAATGCGAAAGGGAAACAGAACATTAATCGTTAAAAAGTTTTATCGGATCACTATTTTAAAAGAATCTGTTACTAAAATATTATTTTCTTTTTGAAACAACAGCATTCTATTTTCACCGTTTATTTACTTTATACGATACATCACCGTTTTAACAATGGCTTGGATGCATTACCAGTATATTGCCGCTAATGTTGGAATTTGCGTTAGTTTATTTGTAGTGTCTCTGGCGAGTTTGATCTATTTAGCGGTGAAGCGTTCTGATTCATTTTATGACCTGATTGATTTTATCTTCAATGTTAGACGAAAAATGCCTGCTAAAGAAAGGGACAAAGGCAAAACACAAACAAACGAAGAGGGAAATAGATTAGATACAGAAAATACACGAACAGGAGAACGGGGAACACTGGAAATACACGATCTATCGTTTGATCTAAGTAAACATAATGAAAACTGCCTCAAAGTTGCATTTGTGTTCATGAGTACATGTGTTGTAGCAGCTACACTCGTTGTATTCTTTGATGGTTTGTTTCTCATTGTGGACGATGTTACGACAAACAGTAAATGTCCGTTGGATGGCGAGATGGATTGTTACAGTAGGAACAACACGTATTTTTTTTGTAATTCCTCTGATACACAAATTGATGCCTCGTTAGGCAGCCTAACATGTTATCGATGGCTCAAAGATGGTACTTCAACGGTTGATATACTGAATCAAGTTGGCCTCTGCGCTGGTCTCATTCAAGCCTTCGGATGGTTGGTTAATCTGTTTCTACGTTTCCTATTTTATGTATTTGAGGCACGAAAACCTGTCATAGATCCATTTATCGAGAACTCTAAGTGGTGGTTAACATTCAAACGTAAATATAAACATCCCAGATTATTGATTTGCTGGAATATTAATTCAGTTATCTTTGCCATCGTCGGCTTCCCGACTGTGCTATTCATTCCAATATTTGCTGAGTATGTTACAGCAATAACTTTATCCATTTTACTAGCTGCATTTTTTATTTCTGCCGTGGCACTTATTATATTTCTTGCTGGTACGTTTGCAACTGCTCTCTCCACGTCTAGTGTGTCACCCTAGGTCAGCCAGCAAAGCAAGTGAAGAAACAGTCTGGATCGTCTTAAACTATAACTTCAATTGTATCGTTCAAGGGCCAACCATGGTGGAGGAGAATGCTTACTTTATCCTACTTTATCCAATAAACATTCTCTTTCAACAAGTTGAGGTGACTTGTGTAGAGTACATATAAACCGAAGAATAACTGTAACTCTTTCATGTTTTCGCTTCTGCTTTTTATTATCTTGCAATAAACTTGCATTTGCACCAAAGTGTTCTGTTCCTAATTTTCGGTTAGGCTTCCTCCTTCCGTAAAATACTTCTCAACTGAACAATCGCAATAAAGTGACTTTATTCGGCCGAAGAAGCAGACATTTTGAATGCTCCTTATCTTTAGTTTGGATGTGTCGATTAAAAAGTAGTAGAAAAGTTTTATGACCCATTCCAACCCTAGTAGAATTCGCGCTTCATTGCGCGTCGCGAAGCCATAGTAATCTTGCCACAACCTTGTCGCGCAATACGCAATTTGAATTGCTATCGTGGACGCACATATTCGTGAATTTTTTGTGTTTCGCGAAAAATTCGTGATTGTGTCCCGAAACAGTTCGCGACAGGATCGCTGTTAAAATAGCTATAGGATGGCGATTGAGATCACGACAAGGTGGTAGAAAGATTGTGACTGAATTTACTTGTTTCACCCCACGATCGCTATTTAAATCGACTGTTTCGTGACAGGATCATGTTAAAATTGCTTATATCGCGGCAGATCTCGGCTTCACAGCAAACCATTTCAGGGTGATGAACCTGTAATTTAATTTTAAGTAACTAATGTCTAATACTTTTATTCTATTATTTAAAAAATCACTATAATAAGTTAAGTCAGTTAAATTATCGGAACTTTGTGGTGATGATAAAGATAGAGACGATAATGATCGATTTGTTGTTGTTGGTATATGTTCTACCTTTTGTCTCTTAACACATTCCAATTCTAAATCGAGTTGTTTTTGTTTTGTTGTTTGTTCTGATAGTTTCAAACGGATTTCAGCCATACGAATATCATTTTCGTTTGATATAAACTACATAAAAACATAACAAAGATATTAAATAATGATAAAGCAAATCTTTTATGTATTTATCATTAATAAGTCATTTCGAATCTTGCCTGCAAAGGACCATCTTGTGTTGAGATCACATAAAACGAAATAATAACTGAAAATCCGTAGAAAAAGCCACTTTTCTTCTATGGAACATGTGAATTTTTATCTGATGTCGCTTTGGTTAGAGAAATTACACGTTGATTGTCATGTTGACTGTTTTGGTTCGATTCGTAAAATCTAAGTCTAATGAAATATTATTCTTTCGTCAAATAAGTCATGTATGTTTATTAGAGTCGATAGAATAAAAACGCAAACATTTACAACACATATTTCGAAATTAATTATTACTAATCTCGTTAGCTTGTGTTAAAAAACTTTTATTGGACTAAAAGATATAATATAGTCAATTTTTCTAAACAAGAGCCAAATTCACATGTTTAACGTGTAGAAAGTGCGTTTTAGCGCTGTATGAATTTACTGTTTGCTGTTGAATCGTTGTAAAACCAAAAACCTTAACTGTTCAGCTCTTGGAGCTACAGAAAAACCTTTCAAACCTCTGCATTTCCATAAGAGGCAGTGCACGATAGAGACGAACGAAGTTGCTCAATGAACTGTCACAGATTTTTCTCAAATTATCAGAGCAGATAGAGAAATGTGTCCTGAACATTTTTG